GTGGTCACCCACCCGCACACTGACCTAATTGATGTTAATAAAATAATTGATATTAATTAAAAAAAATTTGATGATGTGTGTCTCTTTTAAGCGGATAAAAGGGAGGTTTACTATTCTTATTTTTTTTTTCCTCAATTGATCTCGGTATACTAATTTGGTGTTAATATTGTGCTAATATTTAGATTCTAGATTTCATATATTTGCAAGTATGTCAGATCAAAATAACATCAAAGTGTACTGCCGAGTGCGTGGGCTGACTGATTATGATGAAGAAATTAAAGAAAGCAGTTATAGATTCCCTAAAGATAGATCAGTTTTTCACTTGTCTACGGTAAGTTATTTTTATAATTTCAGTCATGTGCTCTTATTTGGATTTTATCATATGCTTTTCTATACATACCCACGTCTAACTTTTTTATGGTTTTCTATTGTTGGTTCAACATAAACTCTGATGGTAACCATCAATAATTCCATCATGAACCATCATATTTCTTGATGGTAACCAACATAAGTAACCATCACCTCATTGTAGGAATTCGCGCTGATTTATGATGGTCCAACATTAGAATTGCAACTTATTTTGATGGTTTGTTCATTCTGAACCATCACGAATTTCGATCACAGTATCTTAAATGTTGGAACGATCATGAACAACCACCATTCCAATGTAGGTATTCGGACTGGTTTATGATGGTTCAACATTAGAATTGCAACTTATTTTGAACATTTTTCATCAATGAAGTTTGTAGCATATCAAAAACCATGAATACGTACTGGAAAATGTTGGATGATTGTGACCATCAAGTGATGTTGACCATCATTAATTACACTGAAACCATCGAAATTTTTTGACGGGACCATCAAGAATTTTGATGGTCTCATCAAAAAATTAATGTTAACTTAGTATGCCTTTAAGCATTTTGAATTGATAAATGAATTTTTATATTACCAGAAGCAAAACTGTCTTCTATTATTTTACTATATATATAAAAATCTAATAATGGTGTCGCAGTTTTTCTGTTATCAATACATTTTTATTGGCTGAAAAATCACGCGGTAGGATCCAGTTTCCCCCCATTAATTTTAATTTCGGTTTGGCTGTCATCAGCAGGAAATTGATATAAGTCATAAAGTTATTGTTTTTATATAAAGGTTTTTGTTTCTTTAATTTAAAATTACCTGCACTGAAATTATTATGTTTTTGATTTTGCTTGCTTTTTAAATTAAGAGTTTACAGTCCCTGGCCAAATTATTAGACATACTATAAGCTACTATGTGAAATTTTAATTATCAGGTGATACTATACAGCTTTATTATTTTTACGCGGATGAAACCGGTTTGTAATTGTTTACGTTCGTGTATTAATTGAATTACGATCTATAATATAAATTCAACAATTTGATAAATTAGACGATATATTATGTAAATATAGAATATTTATTATATCAGGTATTATATAAGCGTATTACAATAATTAGACCAAATTATTAGAAGCACTGTAGTTTTTTAATTATTGCATGTTTTGCACGAGTTTATAAGCAATACTTCTATATTGAAACACACATGTAATGGGTTTTTATTCAGGAGATTTTTTATGTACTTCCTATTTGTAGTAATTTTAACGTATTCCATTACAATGTTAACCAATTGATACACGAACGTAAACAAGTGCAAACAGTCGCGTAAAAACAATCAAGCTGTATAGTATCACATGATGATTAAGATTTTACATAGAATCTTTAGTGCGTCTAATAATTTGGCTAGGGACAAGTACCAGTATTATGATAAATTACAAGTTTTGGTTATAATAATGTAATGTATGGCATGCTGTTGTCTTTCTTGCCTATTTGCCAAACCAGCAAGTGTGCCAAGCGAATTTAAGACAGAGAGTTTTTAAGTGGCGCCATCTATGGTCAAGAATACAATTTCAGACACACACAAACACGTTACATCCTGTTTTACAGGGTGGACATGATCATACATCCATTATGTTATGGTAACTTCAAAAGCTTTGTAAACCCGACAGAATTAACTAGCATCAGCCACAATTTTGAAAGCAATATTTATTTAATTATAGTAATTCAGTGGTTTTAGTAAATGATGTAAAAATTTTGATAAATAGGTTATTTTGTTCTATAAAATTTTAAGGTAAAGGGTGCAGGCACCCAGAGTTCTGGTACTTTTAACCACAATTCCATGCAACATTGTTCGTTGGATTAAATCTTAATGACTTGAATGAACAAATGTTTGCATGCTATATTTGTATGAATAATAAAATTAAATTTTGTTGCTCTTACCATTTTTTTCAAAATACTATTATTATTTTATACAATATCCATAATTTAGCCTTTTTTTTAAATGTAGGAAGAACTAAAATATTTTTTTTCCTTTATTCTCTAATTTATTTCTTTGACATTTTTAGTAATTTTCTTCCTGTTGAATTCCAAGCGTAACAGAGGGGTAACCACTCGAAAATTTTATTCTAAAAAATATATTTAATACTTATGAAAACCAAAAATTCTACTTGAATATGCTGCTTTAGTGTGCAATGTTTAATTAATTGGTATAAAATAGTAAAAGAGCCTCATAATTAAATTGCAAGTCAATTAAAAGTACTTGTAACAGAAGAGGCATTAAAAATCCCACATTTTTGACATGCATAGTTATACTTACGCTAAATTTTGTGATTTGGACCATCCTAAATATTATCTGTAACTTTTTTTTTAAAATTATGAAGTTTCAAGGTAAAATAAATTATTGTAAGACTTTTAAAATTGCTAACGCATTGTTATTAAGAGTAAATAATGCGTCGTTGCAGAGAGGACATGAAATGTAACAGAGAACTTACATGAAATTTACAAATGTGAAGAATAGTTACAGCGAAATAACACAGTCGTAAGTGACTTGTCGGCAAGTTAAAGTGGGAATTGGCAACATTGCTATAATATCTGACATATAAACCCATTCTACATCTTTACAGTAATATTTGAAATTTTTTATTTTAGCAGACTGTGTTGAAAACATGCACATTGTTTCTTTCTAAATTTCAGTTATTTGGTCAACAAAATCAATTACCCTATTTTTTCCTTGAACTTTTTAAACTCATAAAACTATCTATTGCAATCAGGGTTCGCCAAGTGGGCCCAGTTTGAAAAAACCAGCCCGGGTNTCAAGTGAGGACTTATATCTTATCTTTTGTTTATCAGAAAGAAAATTTTACAGATTTTTTCTTGTTTGTTTGTTATAGAGCAACTTAAGATTTTTGATTGATTAAACAAGTGATTTTTTTAATACTCTTTATACGCTCTTTATGATTTTGAAGTCGGCGCCCTTTCATCTTTTTCAAAAAAAATTTTACGTAGGAGGGGTATCATTTTAAAGTAAATAGGCAGCTCTTAAACAAAAATGCTTAATATCTACAAGTGAGCTGGTCAATACGAATTCCGCACCCGGCTTGCACCGTCCACAGTGCTGACGTAAAATATCCTCAGTGGTAGACGGGTCATGGGTTAGAGTCCCCTTGCTGTCCGGCTAACCATGGCGTGGTCCTCCTCTCCATGCAACGCAAATGCGGCTTAGCTCCATCGAAAAGTCCTCCACGAAGGCAAATTTCTCCCAATACTCGATCCAGGAGTGCCTTTGTCTTCTGGATTGGGTTCAAAATGACAAGGCTATGGAGTTGAATGTTTAGTACTCGTAAACCAATGAAATTAGATCGGCTGTTCAACGACGGTTATGAAATAAAAAGTATTGTTTATTTAATTAAAGTGATTCAGTGATTTTTAAGCAAATATTTCTCTAAAAATCACAGTATATTAAATTATTTTGCTCTGTAAAATTTCACAGTAATTTTATCCTGAAATTTTCACAAATTTTTTTTATTGAAATTAATGGCGCATGTGGATTATTTTTCGAGTAGTTTCCATGACAACATGGCACTTTTCTGGCAATGGACACTGATATCCTCGATATGTTGGTATACCTCAATCAGTTTCTCTGACTCAATAGCATGAGAATAAAAAAAAAGGACAAAGGCAATTTGTCTGATTTTTAACTTAATCGAGTTACTATTTTTAGAAATTTTAGGAGGTAAATTACTGTAATAAAAACTACTAAAGCACTAATTTGAAGTAAAACTACAGTTCCTGATGGCCAAATTATTAGACGCATTATAATATTCTATGTAAAATCTTAATTATCAGGTGATGCTATACAAGCTTTATTGTTTTTACGCGGTTTGCACTTGTTTACGTTCGTGTGTCAATTGGTTGAATTAAACGATATTTGATATAAATTCGACGATTGGATAAATTAGATGATATATTACATAAATATAGAATATCTATTATATCAGGCATTATAGTAGTATATTATAATAATTAGATCAAATTATTAGACGCGCTCTTGTTTTTTAATAATAACATGTTTTGCTCGAGTTTATAATATGCAATACTTTTATATTCAAGCATACATGTAATGGGTTTTTATTCAAGGGGTATTTTATATACTTCCTGTTTGTATTTACTTTTAAAGTACTGCAATATAATGTTAACCAATCGATACTAAAGCGCAAGCAGATGCAAACTGGTTTCATTCGTGTAAAAATAATAAAGCTGTATAAATACCATCTTATAATTAAGATTTTGCATAGAATCTTTAGTGCGTCTAATAATTTGGCCAGAGACTGTAAGAGAAAAAAAAAATAAATAAAAACAAGAAAATCTAAATAAGTAAGATATTTATTCGTTTTATTAAAATTCAGCTTGTAGTTTAAGGAAATCGTATTTGAAAGATTATACTAATAAACAACGCTTGCAGGTTACCATCGTAATTGAAAAATTACAGCGATGTTCTCTTTTCAGTATTGAAATATTTTAATTTTTACATTTCATGCATTTTCATATTATAATCATCGATTATATAGGTGTTCTTGAAGGCTACAACGGCACCATACTTGCTTATGGTCAAACATCAACTGGAAAGACATTCACCATGGAGGTAATATAATGATTTTTTTTTCTCAAAATGTTTAGTTTAACTGTTTAAAGCTCAAACAAAAATATATTTTGTACGAATTTAAGAATGCATATCCCCCGTAGCAAAATAAGGTTTATTTTCCCTTAACAAAAACCTTTTTTAATGTAAACATAAAAAGATACGGCTTGTAATACGGTTTACGTGTAAAACTAAAAACCTTTTTCCAGTAAAGCAAAAATGTTGCGGTTTCAAACCTTTCATCCTAAAAGGATTAAAAAATTGTTTTTTAAAGTTTTTTTTAAAAATAGTATTGCCATTTAGGTAAAATGGTCACTTAGGTTCATAAAGACGTTTTTGCTGAGGTCACACTAGCGATAGGATCAAATTGCATTGTCCTTTAAAATTTCATAACAATGTGGATTTTAGCTGAGCATACAAGATTTTGAGAAAAGAAACCTTATAATGACCTAGATTTAAGATTATCTTCACCTAGAGACTAGCTTTATGAAAGGATTTTTTTCACCCTCGAACGCTCTAAGTCAACCTCGATTTGAGGTTTTTATATAGAAGGTTGTTTTGCAAGGTTTTGGATTAGGGCAATATCCGTAGAATAGAGCAGATTGTCGCACATATCTTTTTAAGGTTAGCAGATTTACACGCAAACCGCATAACAAACCTTTTTAGGTTTATATTAATAGGTTTTTGCTGACTGAAAATAAACCCTATTTTGCTATGTGGGATAGTCTTCAAACAGTGAACCAAATCATATTTAAAAGCCTGTCGTTGGTGGAAACAATTAGCTCTTTTCTGTTGTTGTTTCTAATGTCACTTGCCACATTAGCAAGCCAGCTTGGCGAAGCCGAGCAATTTGAGGCAGAGAGTGCGTTTCTTGTTTTTCAGTGGCGCCATCTATGGCCAAGAATCTGACTTCAGCCACACCATACGTCACACCCGTTTATAAGGCGGACCCATTCTTACATCCGTTCATTCATCCACAGATCGTAATTTTGACCTGAATCAGAGAACGATCGATCCAGTACCCCCAGTGGTGTTGATTTGTTATGGGAACATGGAGGACTTTGCGACTCGACAGAATTTAACGTGCATCAGTCACCAACTACACGGGGAGTCTTCAGCCGGCGAGGTTTGAACCCAGGAACTCTCGGACATGGGCCCAGCGCCCTACCGACCAGGCTATCCCGGCCCTCTATCTCTTTCTAGTGATGTTTGTTATTTAACTCGTTGCTTGAGGTGTTCCATCACGTGTGGTTGTGCCATCCGTAAGCAAAAGGTTAAACACATTCCAGAAAACATCCCTACAAATTTAATTTTGTAGTTACTAGCACACTATTATAACTGCCAACTCTACTGGATTTTCCAGTAGACTACAGGATTTTGCCAGTTTCTCCTGGTCTACTGATTTAATTTAAATTCTCCTGGGTTTTGTACATTTTATAAAATTCCTTGAAATTAAGTAAGTTTCCTAAAAAAAAAAGTCCCAATTGAAATAGAATTGCTGTACAGATTATTGCTTGCTTGCTGGAATATTTAAATAAGTATTACTAATACATAGTGAAATGAACCTTATTTATAGAAATCAGTTCAAAATTTTTTGCTCTAAAGTGTTCAGTTTATTTTAATTCAGAACTCTGTTTTTAAATTAATTAAAAAAAATATTTTAACTATCATTGATGAATTAAATGCCGATTAATATTTGAAACGAGTAAACATAATACATAACATTTCAAGTATGCTTAATGTCNTTTTAATTTAAAAGAAACAACTATAATGACGAGAACCTTATTTATAGAAATCAGTTCAAAATTTTTTGCTCTAAAGTGTTCAGTTTATTTTTATTCAGAACTCTGTTCTTAAATTAATTAAAAAAAATATTTTAAGTATCATTGATGAATTAAATGCAGATTAATATTTGAAACGAGTAAACATAATACATAACATTTCAAGTATTTTTAATGTCAATCATGAGTGGCAAATATAACAGTTTTTCTATTTTGATGACAATAAAAATACTTAGAATTCTCTTTGCGTTGAATATTTAGGACATTATGTAAAAATTATCATGAAATTTATATTATTTCGTAAAATCTACTGGATTGTTTACTATCCATGTTATCAGCTGTGTTTTTTATTCATAATAAACAATCCCTGAAATTCTCTGCTTTGCATATTTTATTAAAACGCAATTTAAATATTTTTTTTTATCAACAATTTCTATTTCATTAAAAATACTTTTATTTTCTCTCATGTTCTATAAGCCATACAATTTCAGAAAATCAAAGACTATTACTTTTAAAGACCCAACGAAAAAGGTGATTTAAAACATAATTTGACATGCTTGAAATTTACCTAAAAACATGAATTAAGATGGATTAGAGCCAACGGGAAATTTTACTGTCACTTATGTAGTTAATTATTTTCAGGGTGACGTAGCAAATATGGATAAATTTGGAATCATACCACGTGTAGCCCAGGATATTTTCAACCAAGCTGAGTCCACACTTGACTCAAAATGTGAAATAAAGGTAGGAATTGTTGTCATGTTATTCCAAATATTTGATGTCTCACATATATTCAAACTGATTTATCACGGTTAACAGTTAAATGCTTAAATGAAATTTTTTAAGATTATCAAGCAAACTGCATCCGTCGTCTTTTGTATTCTTGCTGAAGAATGAACTTTTTCAGTTTTATTTTTAGTTATGTAAGTCATTTCTAAATATCAAAAACTAAAATTAATGTTTATAATTACATGTCTCTAATAAGTCATTAAAACTGCCTCAAACTACAGTAAAACCTCGCTACAACAATATATTGTTGTAGAGAGATATACTGTTATATCGAGGGTCTACATACTTTGGGGACACAATAAGATTTTGTTTTAAAATTTCCATGTTATATGTGTATTAACTATAAATGTATCGAAACATTACGCAAAAAACTAATTCGCAGAGTGTTAATTGTGGTTAAATATGTAAAAAACAATTGAAATAAATTCAGAAAATAAGATCGTACTTTTAAAATTTGCTTCTACAAATTAATTGCTAACTATTACTATTAATTAATTTTTCAGATTTCATTTTACGAGATATATCTGGAAAGAATCCATGACTTGTTTAATGGTAAGTAAAATTTATACTAATTGTTTGCAAATGAATTTTTATAAAAAAAGAAAAACGTATGTTTTATGATTTTTTATGACCGTTAGTGCCTTTTCACAAGGAAAAAAAAAAGCAGCATTCATACAATATATTGTTTTGCAATGTATCTACCTTTTATTTTTTTCTTTGAAAAAAAATCTATGATCAATGAATTTTTCTTATTTTATCTTTCAGACTCACAAAAGAGGAATTTAAAAGTGTATGATGACAAGAAAAATTTGCCTTTTATAGTAGTAAGTATGGAATATTAATATAATAAAGATTCTCCTCTCATTAGTAAAATTTGCCTTTTTATGGCAGTAAGTTTGGAATATAATACAAGGTACTTAAAAAAATTAAATTTAATTAAGAAATTCTATTAAAAGTGCTTTAATTGCTTTAAGTAGAAAAAAATAGGCATTTCTATAATTATAAAACATATACATCGATTACACATATATCGAACAATGCATATCGATTACATGTATATCGAACATCGATTGCATTATATCGAAGACATGTATATCGATTTACATAAAAAATTTTTAATGTACATTTAACACTGAAAACAACTTTTCAAAGATTTTTGACGTATAATCTTATTTGTTTCGACTATTCTTTTAAGGTTAGAAAGAGCTCGAATCCCTCATAGCCAACATTTGCCAGGGATTCAAGAATAGTTAATAAGAATTCTACCGCTTTTTCTGCTTCTTTAGCTCTCACTCTTGGTTCATCAATATGATCTTCAGCTTCTTCCTCTTCCTTTGATATTCCTTTGACATTATCTATGATTTCCGCATCTGTCAATGTTCCGCATGTTGCCAGGCAGTCGTCCACTTGTAAAAATCTTCAAAACTAATGTGAACATTAAATCCAGACTTTATTGCATTCCATTCTGGCAAATCTGGCCCTGCATTTTCATCGTCAACAGTTTTCTCTTCTTTACTAATGCTTTCAACCTCTTGTTCATTATCTTCACAGCTATTCTTAAAACCAGCTTTTTAAAACCATTTTGGATAGTTTTTAGAGATACATTTATCCAGGCAAAAGACAGTAATTCTGATAGCATTTTTCATGGATGGCATCTACAAGTTTGCCTGCCAACTGTCTCCTATAGTTCACTTTAAAACTCCTAATTGTCCTTTGATCCATTGGTTGCAATTTTGAGGAGAAAATGATATTCTATTCTTAGCTTTCTTATCTATGTTGAAAAACTAACCCCTTGCGGTCACTACTCATTAATTCCTCACTTACTGCCAGAATCATTGTATTACTTCCTTGTGAAGGAAGTGCAGGGATATTGATTGGAATTCCAAGAAACACTCCCAACTCTACTTCTTGTGGGTTCACGAAATTCATCTCTGCCTGCAAGTTCTACCGCTAAAGAAAGTTTTGACATTTGCGCTATAATATTAGAAATTTGAGAAACGGAGGCTTTAAAAAAAATTGACATAAACATGGAAAATACACTGATTTTAGACAGTAAATGTAGAGAATTTCCGAAATTTTGAGATGTACAGGTTTCCGAGATAAATAGGTTTGAGATAAACAGATTAAATTGTATAATTAAGTGCTAAGATTAAATTAGAAAAAACTGCCTTTTATAGTAGTAAATAATATTATATAATATAATANCGAAGTCCTTACGGTTACAATGTGATGCACTTTTCTATAATTTTGAAATTCTTTTATCAGAATATAATATAATATAATATAATATAATAAAATGCTAAGATTCTCCAGTTATTAGTAAAATTTGCCTTTAATTGCTGTCACTATGGAATGTAATATAATAAAGTGCTAAGATTTTCCCCTCATTAGAAAAATTTTCCTTTTATTGTAGTAAGTATGGAATATAATATAATAAAGTTGCTAAGATTCTACCCTCGTTAGAAAAATTGCCTTTTATAGTAGTAAGTATGGAATATAATATAATAAAGTGCTAAGATTCTCCTCTTATTAGTAAAATTTGCCTTTAATGGCAGTCACTATGGAATGTAATATAATAAAGTTGCTAAGATTCCACCCTCGTTAGAAAAATTTGCCTTTTATGGTAGTTAGTATGGAATATAATATAATAAAGTGCTAAGATTCTCTCCTCATTAGAAAAATGTGTCTTTTATAGTAGTAGGCATCGAATATTATTATAATAAAGTGCTAAGATTCCCTCCTCATTATTCACGGTATTTTTATTTCAGCCATCTAAATACATTCGCTCACATATGATTCGTTTATGTTCCGTTTCAAAATTGAGAGAAAAAAATTACAAGTCATCAAATATAAGTCTTTTGTAAGTGTTATGTTACTTTTAATTACTATTAAATAATATTCAATTAAAATTTTCCGTAATTTTGACTGTAAAACTAATAACTGGGCTACAAAAACTAAGGAAATTTCCCAGTGAAAGATAAAAGTAATGTAGAGTAAGAATGAAACATCATGAAATTGTTGTAAATTAAATTAAAAAAGGAAAATAAATAAAACAAATGAATAAAGAATTGACATGAATAAAATAAATTAAACATGTTAAATAAATAAGCAATTAAAATAAATCAATAAATATTAAAAAATTAAAAAATAACAAAAAACCGTAGAAGTACAATCTATTTTGGAATCCACAGGTGTTAAGCACACAGCACTTTTTAGTACACCGCAAGGAAAGAAATCCACGCTGCTTAAATCAGGAGAACGTGGAGGCCATGGAACCTCGCATAATGAATCTTAAAAACAACACAATGAGGCGTACGAAGACGTTTCCGACCTAGGTTTCTTATTTAAATCCGAGTCCTTGTGATGTCCCATTCTTCAAAAAGTTTGTCCCAATAATCCTGGGACACTCTTCAATATTTTCTTCGTTCTGATCGTTCTTTTTTTTTAATTCCAGGGAGGCACTGAGATCTGTGTGGAAAGTGTCAGCGAGTTAATGAACCACTTTTGCAAAGCAAAACTGAAGAGGCAGATTGCTGCTACAGGTTATTTGAGTTATTTATAATAATATTAATCTAATTTTTCATTATTTTTATTTTTCTTTGTAATTAACAACTATTTGAATTTTATTTCTATTTCAGATGCGAACGAGGTAAGTTCAAGGAGCCATACTATCTTCCAGATAGTTGTTAAACAAGAGAACATTGCAACTAAGAAAAAGTTACTTGGCAAACTACTGTTAGTTGATTTAGCTGGCAGCGAAAAGGTAATTAAATACTGTTATTATAAACGTGAATGGTAGATATTTTCTGCTGTAAACAAATAAAACCACAGGTTTTTCGCGAGATCTGGGAAACTTACAAAGTTTATAGTTGTTGAGGAATTTGATTTTATCAATATGATTAAATATTCATAAATAAATATATAATAAAAAAAAAATAAATAGAAAGAATGAAAGAAAAGCTGAGAATAGAGACCTCTTAAACTTTATTGTATAACGATAAGTAGAACCAAATTTAACATTTTTACTCTTTCATATTTTAAAAGTACCACTATAATTGTTGGCTCAATGCTCTTGAATTTATTAAAATAAGAAATAACACCATAATTTATAATAATTTACTATTATTAAAATGATAAATAAATCTGTTTTTATTCAAAATCAGAGCTGGAAATAATTAGAAGTATTGTTTATGAACTTTTATTCGTTGGCACGTTGAATTCAGCACGGTGTTTTAGCCTATTATATACATTAAAAATATTTTACATAATCAATCATATATGGCAAAGTTATTATGAGATGATACTAATTGTGAGGTATCACCATAAGATTTTCTTAACTTCTTTACTATGTCCATAAATGATTCTTTTTTAGTTATAAATAATTTTAATTAATGTCGTTTCCGCTTAAAAGAGCTATTCTTTTATTCAAATTAAACTTTTTGAGGCATTATAATAATAGCCATTTTGGAAAATTAGTTCTATGAATTACTTGTTCCAAATGTAATTTCCAAGAGGCATTAAAAGTTCAAAATGTTGAAAAAACACGGAAAAAATTACAGAATGATGAAAGAGAAGAAGAAAAATTATTAAAATTAAATAACACAATTTTTAAAAAAAATTAAAAAATATTTTTTTTAAAGCAAAATCCGGGGAAAAAATATAATCTCATCATAAGGCCACACGATTACATCCTCAAAAAGAAATGCTTTCAAATAATGTATCAATATAGCCAAAGAAAAATATATCAATACAAAAGTGTGAGGAGCGCTCAAAAAAATTTTGAAACAAAATAGAAAACATTAAGTAATAAATATCACGTAAAAGCAGAAAATAAAATGTAAAGAAAAAACAGAACACACAACGAAATCTATAAAGCGTGTAGCGAATTCAAATGAACTTACATGTACGAGAAAATTTTCAAGAATGATTTAAAATATTTTCGTAATAAAATTGCCAGATTACAAAATAGGAAAACAGAAGAGCAAATTGAGGTAAATAGAGGGATTTTATTTTGCAGCGCATTCTCACTGCAGTACTGATGCGCGTTTGATTTCTTATTTACCAAGGATTGGCAAAAAAATGAATGTGCTCAAGGTAATTATACAAGATAATTTAAAGAAGTTAATAATTAACAAGGTTGATATTTAATTTTACAATTTTGATGATTTTAGAAAAGTAACATTTATTTAGGTGGAAAAAGGGAGAAAGAGAAAGAAACGTGAATTGCTCATTTTGACATATTTTTAACTGCGGATTTTTCCGAAATGGATTTGCACATTATAAAAATTACATAAATTAACAAAGAAGTTTTGAGTAAATTTATTTATAATAACATACAATTAACTCAATGATTTTATGTAGAATTTGATTACTTTATTCATATTCTTATTAATATTCTTTATTCATTTTTATTGTTTTTTTTTTAAATCAAATTTTAAAAGACTTTGTCTATTTGTGTTTTGGATAAATAAACATTACTACATAGTCCCTTATTTCTATTCATTTCATTAAAAATGGTATTTAAATAGATATTTTTAGAAATATTAGAATTCCAAGCAATTAGTTTACTTATATTAAAATTAAACTCATTTCTCTTATTGTATAAATCGACAAAGTAGATATTTTCTTCTTTTATAATACGCAAATCCGAAAAATTAAAATTAATCACGAAGTAAAATTAATCATCATGGTTACGAAGGAAGATTAATTCCTCGGCGCAGATATTTTTTAATGAAATTGTATAATCCTGAAAATTAAAGATAATTAAATTATCAATCAATCTAAAAACAAATTTAATGTAAGTATAATTTTTTTCTTCATATTAGTGCGAAAATAAGTTAGCTAAGAGAGTGGAATAATTAGATCCTTGTGGTATTCCATCAATTTGAAGAAAAATATATTTTCCATTGTAAAGATCTGATATATATAATTCTCTTATATGGCTCCTAAATTTTGGCTGCATTTCTTTTCCACCGGTGGCAACGTTTGCTTTGTTTTGTTTACGTTACTATTTCTCTTACACGGCGACAAAAAAAAAAAGCCTCACTACAACTCCCCGAATGGCAACGCTAGAAAATCGACTAGTGATTACTACTAAAAATGTCACATGCCAAATCTAGCAGAGGTGGCTCGACATATAGCGCTTTTAAAAACGGAAACTGAAATAACCAGAGAGCAGCTGCAACAATCTCATACTATTAAGCTAGGCAGAAGTGAGTAGTCTTTGTCGATCGATCTCTATTTTAGTATTTTGTCGAAAGCGCTTTTTTTTTCACGAATTTATATATTACGAATTTATTTGACGATTTTTGATTTTTTTCACGAATTATACTATAGCACATTTCTAATAGGTTTAACGAATTACATGTCATTTATTTGAATTCAAATTTATTTTAATGACTTAGTATTTACTAAAAAGATGTAATTTTTTTAAAAAAAAAAAGTTTTTATATGGATTTGAATGATTGTTTTGAATTCTTAGAACTTTGTGCATTTGCAATGTACCTAAGTTAGTAGCGAGCGAAGCAAACCATATAAGATTGCGTAGCAATTTTCGGGGGTTGGCGAGCGTTAGTGAGCAGGGGGCGCAGCCCACTAGTATAATTATTAAAAAGACAAAAATTAATTAGAATTTTTCAATAATCGAAATCGTAATTAAGGATATTCTTAAAATCATAGTAATAATTCAAAGGGACTTCTTTTAGTTTAGAACAGGGAATGCTATTGAAGAGATTCTGGAAATCAAAAATTGCTACAGAATTAATTTTATTATGTTTAATAAATTCTAAAAATCAACTATGAATATCTTCATTAAATCTGACAGTTTCTAGGCCGCCCAGTTTAGCTCAAACCTCACTTCCCCCATATAAACATATTCCACGCAACGCTCTAGGGATTTCTTTAACCCTTTTCTTCTCAATTCCGGGAAATTGACGGGATGATGGTTCGCCCTCTACTTCTCGCTCCCGTCATATTTCCGGGCTGGAGTGTTCATTAGTAACGCGCCAATAAGAATAAAACTAATTCATTTCTTTTGCCTGAAAAACATTTTATTTCTCATTTTTCACACCAGATGGCAGTACTAGGATATTTTTAAGGTCATTGTAGATAGTTAGTTTATTTTAAACTAGATGTCAGAACAAGATGTTTGGAGGTCAGAAAAAAAATAGGCACTTTTATGACCGTTTTCTTGAAAATTAACCAATCGTTAAGGGGTTAAAAAGTATTCTTTTCGGTAATTTTGGCTCATCGATTTCCTAAATTCATTAAGAGGACGCCATACCACGAAAGAAAACTTTTGTCGCAAATTCTCTTTCATTACTAATTTAAAATTTAAAGTGTACGAAAAGTGAGCTCAGACAAGCCTATATTCTATTTTATATTTTATATTCCGTCGTTGAACAACCGGCCCAATTTTCGGGTTTACAACTACTAAGGTTCAACTCCGTAGCCCTGTCATTTCGAACCCTACCCAGAAGACAAGGGAACTCCTGGATTAAGTAATGGGAGAAATTTGCCTTTGTGAGGACTTTCTTATGGAACTAACCCACATTTGCGTCAGATGGAGAGGAAGACCACGAGAGCATCCCACGGTTAGCCTGACGGCGAAGGGACTCTAACCCATGATCCGTCTACCACTGAGGGTATTTCACGGCAGCCCTGTGGAGACAAAGCTATAGTAAACCATGAAGTTTTAAATACTGAAAAGAGTATTTTAAAATGTACAAATGAAAACAAATTATGAGTTGGTAACTTTGACGCTACGGAGAAGTTCTCTTCTCATAATTTGCTTGCATTTTAATATTTTGAAGTATTTTTTTTAGCAATTCATGACAAACTCTAGGTTCGCCTTAACATACCTTAAATTGCTTTTAAATTTTAAACTAGTTATAAAAAAGAAAAATAATTTGAGACGAAAACTTCCTTCCTCGGCATGTCGGTTTCTTAACATTTCATTAGAGGTGTATTGTGAATTTTATGAATTTAAAATAATTATTTTTTTTCAAATTCAGGCCTGGCAGAAAGATCAGAATGGTTCAGCAATTAAACGTCAGTCAACATACATCAACAAGTCACTTTCAGTTCTAACCAAAGTCATATCCCTATTGTCTGAAGGAAAAGTAAGTGGAATTTTAACTGGTCTTTACAAACTAGAATAGCATATGTTTGTCTAAAGTAAAGACTCCCCTTGCCATTCGTCTGCACTAAAGGCTGTTACTATGGTAACGAGATATAACTATTTCAAGTAGGGTTGTTTAGGACAGGTTTTAGCTTCGGTCGGAGAGAGAAAGGGAATCTTTTCCCCCGGTTTATGGATGGTGTTTTCTACACCAGGGAACGCTGCAAGCTCGATGCCGCCTAAATTTCCGGGCTACTGTTTCCGTTGTATTTTAAAGCCATTTGGCATCATTGTGTTTTGAGATTCTTGCAAATAATGTATTTGATTACTTATTACTTGTGTTTACAATGCTAAAAGTGTTTACACTAACGTAAGATGGTGCACAGCTTGCAACAAGAACATACAGTAATAAACTTACGGAAAGAGGCCGTATCAAGACTGCCAAAAAAGCGAGTTATTCAAATTCTAACAAACATGTCACCTTTTTTAACAATCTATCTCTAAATAACTAAAACAAATTTTCTCTTCAAACTCATCAGAATTACATAATAGCATTAATATCTTATGAAATACGGCAGATTTGAGCTCAGAAATTTTCTAATTTATTTCTTTTATTGAGAACAAAATTATCCGTTTGAAAATATCGCCTCGCAGAATAACATGTAGTAAGCAGCTGCAAACCTTCTGACCGGAACTAGAGCAGGCATACATCTCGAGATTGTTATTGTTTACATTTCTTCTGAAAACACCATCCATTGTGTTAGCCATAGAGTAAAAAGAAGCTATGCTTCGTTCACCAGGAGGAAGAGTTCATTTCAGCGGAACGTCTTCGTGCTTGAAATTGAAACAACCCTTTAATGCGCGCCAAAAGCAAACAGTGGATTCCTTTTCAGTCACTATCTTCGCTTTATCATCTGCTATTATTTGTTAATACTCTTATCTATAATGAAATATATTGCACCAAAAAGGACAAACTATTCACTCTAAAGAGAGAAATATCATCTAATTTATGAAATATTTAATGTTAAGAAAATGCACATAAAGATCAGGATTGTTCTTTTCTCAAAAATGGCGAAATAGTATCGTCGGATACCACGAGGTGAGGGAGGAGCCTAGTACAAACTCCTGGTGAACGAACTATACCCTTCTTGAAATGCACTATTCTTGTTTCCATAGCAGCAGGTGGCCTCAGACTTTGTGGCGGAGGGAGTGTCATACCTGCCAACTCTCCCGGATTTTCCGGAAGATTTTATTTTCATATTTAAAGTGGTAGTAAATATATACTATTTTTTCTTTTATGAACTTAATTTTTAAATGATTTTGATCACCACTATTCTTACAAAAATGAAGCACATATATTAATATGCGTTACTATCATGGTTGTCAACTTAAGTTTTTTCAAATGCAACGTATTTGTTTGCTTAAAATTGAAGTTTTAATTCCATTTTAATACCACTGGGAAAAATGATAATGGAAGGGATCAAAAGTTGGCAGGTATGAGTTCTTACCGTAGGCAAACAATATTTCTTTTCCTGTACACAAACATTTTTATGAATTTTTGTAAATTTTCTTTTCAGAAAACAGTTATACCTTACAGAGAAAGTATTCTCACTCGATTGCTAAAGGAAAGCTTGGGAGGAAATTCACAGACGGCCATCATCATTTGTGTCAATCCTTTCTCGGAATTGGAAACAAAATTGTCATTGGAGTTTGGATCCAGGTATTTATTAGCTAATCCCTCTTACATTTCTTTTTTTTTTTTTTTAATAAGAAGAAACATGCTATGAATCATTTCTTAACCAAAAATTCTCTTGATTTTCAGGGCAAAAGTAATACAAAATAATTTGCATCCAAATTTGAAGAATAATGAAGACAAATTGAATCGATTTTCGAGTAACATTGAGATGTACTTAAGAGAAACTGTATCGGAACTAAAGAGATGGAGAAGTGGTAAGTTCCCAATTTTTTCTTATATACATAATTTTTTAATTAATTTTTAATAATTAATTAATAATTAACTTATCTTTATTTTATTTTATTTATATTACCAGACTTTTTATTTTATAACCGTCGTTGAAAAGCAGAGCCAATTTTTTGGGTTTACGACAACTAATGTTCCACTCCGTAGCCTTGTAATTTTGAACCCAATCCAGAAAACAAGGGAACTCCTGGATCAAGTATTGGAAGAAATTTACCTTCGTGGGGGATTTTCAATGGAACTAACTACCATTTGCCTTACATGGAAAGGAAAACATCGAAGACCTCCCATGGTTTGCCCGATTGCAAGGGACTGTAACTCAAGATCCGTCTACCACTGAGGGTACTTTACGTCAGCATGGTCGGGGAAAGCGGGATGCGGAATTCGTATCGACCAGCCATCTTTGTGATTCGAACCCAAGTCACCTCATTGGAAGACGAACCCAATATTCCCTGAGCCATCTAGGCTCAATAGATTTGCTTATACATACATTAGATATTTTAGAGATTTGACAATTTCATTTCCTAACTTTACTTGGTTTCTGTTTGAAAAACTCCAGGATTGGCAAAGTCGACTAAAATGCAACTTTTTTTGGCATGAGGCGACCATGGCAACTCCTAGCGCTGTTTTTTTAGCAAAAAATGTGTTGAAAGACTTTTAAAAGTCTGATATTTACCTCGTAATGTAGAATGAGCCGTGGCGGCTCACTCTAGATAGAGCGCTTGCCTCCCAATGAGACCAGCCGGGTTCGAATTCCGGCTATGGTTGGTTGATATGAATTTCGCATTCGGCTTGCACTGACGTAAAATATCCCCAGTGGTAGATGGATCGTGGGTTCTCGTGGTCTTCCTCTCCATGTAACGCAAATGCTGGTCAGTTCCATCCAAAAATCCACCATGAAAGCAAATCTCTCCCAATGCTAGATCCAGAAGTTTCTTGTCTTCTGCATTGAGTTCAAAAATTACAAGGCAACAGAATTGAACATTTGTTGTCGTTAACTAAAAATTGGGTCTACTGTTCAAAGATGGTTATAAAATATAACCCATTGCGGCTGTGGTTTATTAAGAAACTGTGCTTAAAATGCTATCCGATCCATCAGAAAATTGCAAATTGCATGTGTAACATAAAACTATTTAGAAGAGTTCGCGATTTAATTATAAGTACATCTTGCTCCCAGGTGAGACTGTTCCAATTGCTGAGTGGACTGCACTTAATGATGGCAATGTAGGAGATGATTCTCTTTTGGATTCATCTCTAATGAGTTCGCCTGACACTGAAGTATCTTCAGTATTTGATGAGACAGATGACAGTCTTGTTTTATCTGAACAACAGGTATATAAACAATTTTTTTTCTTCTTTTCCTGACTAGGTGTACTAGATATTTGAAATTTGTAGGTTATGATAGTAAGTTTAACACTAGGTGTGTTGTTGTTGTAGTTCATTTACGTTGCTGTTAGAGCTGCACAATGGGCTATTGGCGACTGTCTGGGAAACATCCCTGAGGATGATCCGAAGACATGCCATCACAATTTTGATCCTTTGCAGAGTGGATGGCACCCCCGCTACGGTAGCCTGACGACCTGCACGCAAAGTCAAGCACTTTATGGGGGAACAGTTAAATGAGGACTAATACCTCACTCTCTTGGTCCTTGTTTTCAAAAAATCTATGCTTCTTCCCCCTCCAAGAAAAACTCTATTATAATCAGAACTTTCGTTAGACGATAATACATAATCTTTGGCCGAACGCTGATGGTAACATTTTGAGTAAAGCTATGAAATTGAAAATGTATGTTTGTAGTTACAGTCAAACCTCAATGTAACGTACTTCGATTTAACGAATTCTCCGATTTAATGAGTATTTTTTCTGTCCCTACAAAAATTGTGCTAAGCTGCTCTCATTTAATGAATTTTTAGCTTTGATTTAACGAACAACAATCGCTAAAAAAATTCGCACATAAAACTAAAATTTTGAATTTTTTGAGCTTGAAATTTTGAATACTTCACACCCTAATTCAAGGATGTAATTATAATGTATTAAGTTTTAAAAGTAAGTAGCGTTAAAGAATTAAGATCATTTTAAAGTCGATTTCCTAACGTATGACTTATAATTTTTAAGCTCGTGGTAAACAATAATAACTTTTTCTCATTATATGTATATCTAAGGGTATTTTGCATTGATATTTCTATATAATACTCTTTGCAAAAATTGATAATAAATTTAACGAATGGAGTTGCCGGTCCCGAACGATTCGTTAAAACTAGGTTGGTCGATTTCAGCAAGATGATTTTTAAAGTAATTAAGAAAACAATTACTTGTTTATCTACATTTTGAAGTGTTTTGTAAATACTTTATCAATAAAAGTTTTTTTTTATGTTTGTCATTTACGACTTAAATAAGAAAAGAATTCTATTATTTCTTTATTATTTTTTATTATTATTAATAATCATTTTTATAATAATTAAAATTATTAATTATTATAATAATTAATAATAATTATTATTTTATTATTATCATTATTAATAGTATCATTATTATTATTAGTAGTATTAATAATGGTAATAATAATAATAATAATATTATTAGTATTAATAGTAGTAGTATTAATAATGGTAATAATAATAATAATAATAATAATATTATTATTTTAGCAGCAGGACCCAGACATTCAACCCAAGCTATCTGAAATCGATATCGAAATGAAAAAGATGAAATCTCTAAATGATCAATACATGAAACAGCTGGTGAGTGAAATTTTTAGTAATATACAAAACTGCTGCAAGGGGATCAAGTCTTTAGATGACTTTGTGCCTTTTTTAAAAAAAAACTTAGACTAAACAAAATGGAATAAGAAATCGGTATTTATGTAAAATCCCCAAGTTAAACAATGACTCCAAACAACTTGATTTTTCGACAAAAATGGAAAACTGTTTATCAAACACATGGTGGTTATGTTGATAAACCTGATAAACATGGTTAACAACACATTCTAAAACATTAATTTGTGAACATGTTTGTTCTAAACAATAATTTCAACATTTAAAAATTTTTTTTTTGTTTGTTTTAATTCCTATTAAATATGTACTCAGGCTTGCTACTCCACAAGGAGAATAGGGAAAACCAGGGAAATAGAGGGAATTTAAAAATCAGCTGAAATAACAGGGGAAAATGTAGGGAATTTTGAATTTTTCCTTACAAACTGGGAAAAAAAACAGGGAATTTTATTTCTAATTTCTGTCTTTTAAAAAAATGCAGGCCTCACCAAGCGCAATCTATGGGATATTTAAAGATGATACTTCAGCTATATTTAATTTATTATAGCATTGTTTGTTTTATGTTCAGCTGTTTCGTATTTCTTCAAGTTTTTCCAGTAATTAAAACTAGCATCTTAATCCTAATATAGTTCACAAGAGAGCAGTGAATGTGTGCTTCCTCTGAATATATTGTGTATATAATATATATGTGCAGGGAAAACACGGGGAATTTTTTTTTTACAGATATCAGTTACAATATGAGACGATTTGTTGGAATTTGACTAAACTTTCCTTGTCGGCTGGTTGTCAAACAAGTATCGAGAAAAGATTAAAAAACTTATTAATTAATAATGCAGTAAGTGATATAAACACCAGCCCCCCTGTATTTATTTATTTATAATTTCATAACCGTCGCTCAAAAGCAGACCCAATTTTTAGGGTTTACGACTACTAATGTTCAACTCAGTAGCCTTGTAATTTTGAACCCGATCCAGAAGACAAGAGAACTCCCGGATAAAGTATGCGGAAAAGTTTGCCTTCGAGGAGGACTTTTTTGATTGAACTAACTCGCATTTGCGTTATATGGTGAGGAAAAGCGCGAAAACCTTCCACGGTTAGCTTGACAACAAGAGTGCTGTAACCCATGATCCGTCTACCACTGATGTTATTTTACGTCCGTACTGCTGTCGGTGCAAGCTGGATGCGGAGTTTGTATCGACCAGCCAACCCTGGGCTTCGAACCCGCTTCACCCCATCGGATGGCGAACGCTCTATTCCCTGAGCTATCATTGCTCTCCTCCTCTTTATTTGTACGTTATACGGGGAATCCTGGATGAACTCGCCGCAGAGACAGTCCCCCTGAAGCAGAAAGGCAGCAGGTCCGCACCAGCAAAAGACCAGGCTGAGGGGGGCCCTGTGAGAACCCAACGTGGCATTTAGTAAAATCCTAAAAAATTACATGTGACAACATCTCATCACCATACAAGATTTTGATTACATAAACATGATAGAGTTCTGTATATTTTCAACAATAAATGATCAGGCATCAACGCCCATATAATATATCATCATAATATATCATAACATTAAAATAGATAAATTCATTTTTTTAAAACAAATGCACAACAATATGATGAATGAACTAAAGCAAATATACTAATGATGAGCGTAAAAGGGAAAAGTCTAAAGAATGATCGTTTAAAGGAAATTAGTTAATTAAATAATAATTAAATAACAATAGAAATTAAATAATAATTGCATTAAATAATAATTCCTTAATAACAAATGTATTTTTATAATTATTAATTATAATTAATAATTATTTTAGTATATATAATAATTAATTAATTAATAATTAATTAACTTATTAATTATTATTATTTAATAATAATTTAAATAACAATTGCATTAAATAACAATTTCTTAATTATAAATTCATTCTTCGTAATTATAATTAATAATTAATTAATAAATTCATTAAATATTAATAAATTAAATAATAATGCTGTAAAACATAGTTTAATCGTTTGCAATTTGTACATCTTCTTAATTTATGCAGTCCCATCTTTTCATTGCAATCCCGAGTCAGTCTTAAAATATATAATGTTAAGATAGTTCATTAATACCACGAAAAAATATAAATGATCAATTATGCGTAGTGCATTCACCTTTTTTTTTTTTTAATATGTTCGTTTAAATGCTAAATATTCTGATTGGATGTGAGAAGCTCTTAGCGATACTCTTGAAAACTTTTTTTTTCTCTTCAAAAATTTTCTTACCTAAACGTCTACTTTTATGGAAATAGTTCTATGTATTTCTGTATTTTTTTCCCTTCACTTTTGTAAGAGACGTTTTGCTTTCAATTTGAATAAAAACAACCTCTATTATTTTAAAAATCAATGACATAAAGTGACAAATTTATTATTGGCGATCGAAATGAACTACAGGTGGCGTAGAGCAGTACTCTGTACCATATATGGCAGTACTTTTACTTTCGTTACTTGTACCGCCGGTACAAGTAAAAAGTACGTACTTTTACTTGTACTTCGTTACTTTTTAAATTTAGTACTTTTACTTGTACTTTCGTTACTTTTTTAGGGAAAAAGTACAAGTATTTGTAACGGAAATGTCGAATGAAATCGTTACTTTTTTCTAAAACTCGGTAAGCTTTCTAAAAAAAAAATTTAAAAAAAATTACATTAAAAAAAAAGCTTATGTTTTTTTAATTTATAAAATGAATGTGCAATATATATGCATTCACAGCTAACTTCCTGTTTAAGTACCCTCTGTTTCAACTTATACTGCACATTCAATTATTTTTTACTAGCTCAAAGATCACAAAGTTATCTGAAACCTCGTGTTTGCTTTGTTTATGACTGTGCTTTTTAAAACGCGTTTCTAAAGAGTAAAACAATTTTAAATCAATGGTAATTTAAATAAATAAAAATAAGAAACTAAAAATTAAAATCAATAGATAAAATTTCTTTTTCGTGCAAATCCATAAAAAGTTTGAAAAAATTATATTTGATTTTAAAATTATATTATACGATTATATTATAAAATTATATAATAATATTCTTCCGAATTTAAAAATAAATTAATATCCATAACTTTCAAAATTAAAAATAATTAAATAAATAACAACAATTTTGCAAAAACATTAAAGAACATAAGAATATTATTCAATAAAATTTTAGGTTACTTTGAATTTTCGATTTCCTAGAAATGTACTTTTAAATCGTTACTTTTTTTGTTTAGTACTTGTACTTTTACTTGTACTTTTTACTCGTTACTTTTTAAAATAAGAACTTTTTACTTTTTACTCGTTACTTTTTTTAAAAATACTTGTACTTTTACTCGTTACTTTTTAAAAGTAACGTTGCCATATATGCTCTGTACCTATGGCAACACTTCGAGTGCTTTCACCATTAGCGTGTGGAGAGTCATGGAAGAAGGGTGTCGTAACGTAATCGAAATTATAATTTTTATGTAAAGTTTCGAATAATTAGTTGTTGACGACTAACTGAAAATTGAAAAATTTCCATCAATTCGTCTTTTCCTATCAAAGCTTTCTTGAAAATAAAATAGTAGTTTTTGCGAATCATCAAACTCAAATTTTTGAATTTTTTTTTGTGGCCTAATAACATGTTCGGATGATAAATGTTTTTCTTGTGATTTATGGCAACGCATTTGTCTTCTAAAAATTTGAATTTTCAAACGTTCTGTTCCAACATTAGTATCTGTTATCTCTTTTAGTAACAGTTGTCTGTTTATTAACTTTGAGTAACTGTTATTTTTTTTCCAGGCTGAAACAAAAGAGGAGTTGGATTTTTACATAGAGGTATGCACAAGTCACAGACGAAAATGTTGGGTGCTTAACGAAGTGTTTCTGTCTGACACGAAAATGTTCCAATCTCAGGAAGCATCTGACGAATCGAATGACTGTGCAAACTCTGAAGAATTCGAAGCAGAGAACGATTCTTTTCAAGAGGATGAAGTCCAATTTTCATTGTTCGGTGCAAAGATTGCAGATATAAATAAAGGCATCGAAAGCCTAACTTCAGAATTATCTGAGCAGATGCAATATTTAACCAAGATGAGAGTTTCGCAAGAGCAAAGAATCGACGAACTCACCCAGGAAAAGTCTGATACATTGGATGAAAATGAATGTTTCCGTAGAGCAATAGGTCTGTTAATGGAATCTCACGCTATGGAAAAGCAATCTCTGAGAGCAGAAGTGGACAAACTGCACGATGAAATGAAACGGGAGAAGCTCGAACTAAATAAGGAGTATTCTAGAATGATTCAGATCAAAGAATCACATGACTGTTTGCAAAGTACTCTTGAGGATATGTCAGGTGCCTTGAACAGCAAAGAAGAAGAGATTAAATTTTTGAAACGAGAATTAGAAAGCGAAAAAATTCGAAACGTAGAAATTTCCAGCAAAATAAATATAGTGCTTTTGGAAAAAACAAATGTGGAGCTCTTATTAATGGAGAAGACACGAGACCTTTGTGATCAATCCTTGAAAAATATGAAATATTTTTCAGGCGAATCAGAAATTGTTAAACATGATGAAGTGAACGCCAATGACGAAACTTCATTTGCAGCTACCCTCTTGTATGGAGGTATGTGGATATACAATGATGATTTGACAAGAGTTTCGTACTCCCAACTAAATAGTGCTTCAGAAAATCATCCGAACTGCACGGATTATTTTGATGATCCGTATTTAGTTAATTCAATGGACGGAAACTACGAATTAATGAACATCAACGAAATCGACGGAAAAATCAATAAAGACGGGCAAAATATTGAAGAATCTTTAAAGAAATTTGATCTCCCGGAACGAAGCGAATTCGTTGGTGATTGTTCTAAATTATTAGATGCTACGACGGTAGTTGATGATATTGCCAACATAAAAACAACGAATAAGTCAATTGATGTTAATTCAGGGGAAATGAGTGGTAAATTAAAGGAAATAAGCATCAATAAATCCCCACCAGGTCAAGAACCAGCTGAACAACCAGAAATGAAGACAAAACCAACTGAAGAGTTCGATGACGAAATTTTATTTTCAGCTACCCTCTTGTATGGAGGTATGTGGTTATACAATGACGATTTGACAAGAGTTTCGTATTCTCAACTAAATAGTGCTTCAGATAATCATACGTACTGCACGAATTATTTTGATGATCCGTGCTTAGTTAATTCAATGAATGGAAACTACGAATTAATGAACATCAACGAAATCGATGGAAAAATCAATAAAGACGGGCAAAATGTTGAAGAATCGTTAATGGAATCAAATCTCCCGGAATTAAACGAATTCATTGATGATGGTTCTGAATTCTTAGATGCTACGACGGTAGTTGATGATATTGGCAATATAAAAACAACGAATAAACCAATTGAAGTTAATTCAGGGGAAATGAGTGGTAAATTAAAGGAAATAAACATCAATAAATCCCCACCAGGTCAAGAACCAGCTGAACAACCAGAAATGAAGACGGAACCAACTGAAGAGTTCGATGACGAAATTTTATTTGTAGCTACCCTCTTGTATGGAGGTATGTGGTTATACAATGACGATTTGACAAGAGTTTCGTATTCTCAACTAAATATTGCTTCAGATAATCATCCGTACTGCACGAATTATTTTGATGATCCGTGCTTAGTTAAGTACATGAATGGAAACTGCGAATTCTACGAATTAATGAACGTCAACAAAATCGACGGAAATATCAATAAGGACTGGCAAAATATTGAAGAATCTTTAAAGAAATTTGATCTCCCGGAACGAAGCGAATTCGTTGGTGATTGTTCTAAATTATTAGATGCTACGACGGTAGTTAATGATATTGGCAACATAAAAACAACGAATAAACCAATTGATGTTAATTCAGGGGAAATGAGTGGTAAATTAAAGGAAATAAGCATCAATAAATCCCCACCAGGTCAAGAACCAGCTGAACAACCAGAAATGAAGACAGAACCAACTGAAGAGTTCGATGACGAAATTTTATTTGCAGCTACCCTCTTGTATGGCGGTATGTGGTTATACAATGACGATTTGACAAGAGTTTCGTACTCCCAACTAAATAGTGCTTCAGAAAATCATCCGAACTGCACGGATTATTTTGATGATCCGTGTTTAGTTAATTCAATGGATGGAAACTACGAATTCATGAAAATCAACGAAATCGACGGAAAAATCAATAAAGACTGGCAAAATATTGAAGAATCTTTAATGAAATCAAATCTCCCGGAAGTATTCATTGATGATTGTTCTAAATTATTAGATGCTACGACGGTAGTTGATGATATTGGCAACATAAGAACAACTAATAAACCAATTGAAGTTAATTCAGGGGAAATGAGTATTAAATTAAAGGACATAAGCATCAATAAATCCACACGAGGTCAAGAACCACCTGAACAACCAGAAATGAAGATGGAACCAATGGCTGAAGAGTTTGACGATGTCTTTAGAATTACGAGCTTTTCAACGTCTGAGTAAGTTCTTATTTTACATTTTCACTTGTCTTTTGTATACAGCATAACTCTATCTGGCCGCAAAGGAAAAATGACGCGTAGATTCAGAGAATGAATCTATATATCATCTGACATGTACTATTTTTATAATTAATGTGCTGAAGTTGCAATCTAAATTGTTACCTTTAATTTTTGGATTCCACAGTTGATTTTCATCGTTTAAGCAAACACCAGTGCCCCGACCCCATAATTTTTATCCTTTATTAGTAGGGGTAGTACTTAATTAGTATTTGAAATCAATATAAATTTTTTTTTTTTACTTTCAAAACCTGTACTTTATAAATACAGTTGCTAACTCTACTGGATTTTCCAGTAGACTACTGGATTATGCCAGTGAAAATTCCCTGAAATTGAAGATTTTTTTTAAAAAAAATCCCTATTTGAATAGAATTTTTATGCAAATTATTGCTTGCTTGGATATTTAATTAAGTGTCACTAATACATAACGAAGCTTGCCTCATTTAGAAAATTCAGTTAATTATCTTTGAAGAATTAAATATCTATTACTGTTAAAAATTATGAATAAACATAATACTTAACATTTCAAGTTCATTTAATGTTAATTCATAACTGGAAAATATTGCAGTTTTTCTATTTTGATGACTACAAAAATCTCTGAAATTCCCTACGTGTAAAATATTTAGCATGTTTTCCAACAATTATCACGAAATTTATATTATTTCGTAAAATCTACTGGATTTTTTATGCATAATAATGTAGTAATATATATAATATTACTTTTCTGTTGATGTTAAATGCATTTTTTTGTATTTTGCTTTTTCGGTTGTTTTTCGTGTATCAGGCTTTAATCATTCAATAATTTTTTGTTCTTGTTTCTTTTTAGATGTTTTTCTCTTTTGTCTTTGATAAATTTTGAATGATATTTTTCATTTTAAATGTATTTCACTTATAAATTAGAATTTTTCTTTTAACTGGTGTAATTTTTTTTAGAAACTGATACATAATTTTTTTTATTTAAATCATGCAATTTTAAGTTTTCACTAATAACAAGTGCTGATGACGAGCAAAAATTTTGAACATTACAGAATTTGCTTTTGGACAAGCGAGAATCTTTCAATTTTCAGAATATCAAAAATTATTTGATTAATACAATGCAATTCTAATCTTTTCAAAGATTGTTACCGGAAATAATAAATTCTTAATTAGTGTTATATTTACATTTTGATACGTTGCATATTTATTTTAATTGTTACTTTATTTTTTAACTTAATTCGTGAATACAATTGACGATTCATATCTTAAAAAAATGTTGAAACACGTTTTTGAAAAATTTTAAGAGCAATATTTTCCATCTAAATCTTTTCATCTTATTTTTGATAGTTTTCAGAAGCTTTTTTATTTAACTTTTCATTCTGAGAATTTTACATGAATTTTTGAGTTTTTATAATTAAATAATTAATAGAATTTTGAAGTTTAAAAAGTTAGGAATAAGAATTTTCAACTTCATAATTCTAAGTATTTCTATTTTTATATCGATGCAGGGAAAAAAATAAATATTTTCTTTATTTTTCTGATATTTTAAAATTTAATTTTCATAGGCTATGTTTCCCACAACGTTCTGAAGAAGATGAATATGAAGCTAGATCTGTCAACAATCGAATCTTGGATATAATTCTACTGTTTATTTGTTTATGGTTATGCGTTCTTTGTTATGGCTCTTAATTCGTTAAATCTTCAAAACATTTTATCACATAAAATTATAGTAGCTGTAATACATACGCATACGATCAGCATGAATGTTTCCCTGGAACCTATAAAAAGGGCATGTAAATTTTTCTTAATAAAAATATCTTTAAATTAATGTCTTTGTTTGATCTGATTTTTTATTTTATTATAAGGCTTTTTTCAATTAGATTAAATTAAGTTTTAGATTAGATCAAAATCCGTTCAATTATTAAGCAATCATCGTGACAGGCGCACGTTAAACTTGTCGGGTCACAAAGTCCACCATGTTCCCGCAACAAATTATACGTCTGAGGGTTTTGTATTGGAGATTGTTTGCTCTCTCTGGCTCAGGTCAAAATTGCGATCTGTGGATAAATGAATTGATGCATGAATGAGTCCGCCCTATAAACGGGTGTGACAGAGTCGAATTCTTGGCCATAGATGGCGCCACTAGAAAACAAGAACAGTCGCAACCCTTGCCTTAATGGCCTACGACAACAAGAGTAACATGTTGACAATATTACTCTTGTTGTCATAGGCCATTAAGGCAAGGGTTGCGACTGTTCTTGTTTTCCAGTGGCGCCATCTATGGCCAAGAATTCGACTCTGTCACATGTTTCTCCTTCTATGTTTACATGACACAACACTCCCACCCCCACTTGGATTCTGCTTTAACTTCGACTCCTATTGTTGTATTGAAAGTAAAATAAAAAATTCAAAAATAAAAATCAAGGATTAAACTCAAATAAAAAATTTAACTTTTCATTGAAGAAAGTTTACGTTTTTATTCATTTTGTAAGATTTTGAGTAAAATATTCTTTAGGAATCTACAATGATTCTCTTTTGTGCATTTCCGATCTGAGATTTTATTGGATTTTAATAATTTAAAGATGTATTTGTTCAGTCGATGCATTATACATTGTAACACTTTTTTTAATATTTATTTTACAACCGTCATTGAACAGTCACCCCTTTTTCGGGGGGTTTGCGACTACTAATGTTCAACTCCTTGCCCATAGCCTTGTCCAGAAGACAAGGCTACGGAGACCTAATCCAGAAGACAAGAGAACTCCTGGATCAAGTATTGGGAGAAATTTGCCTCCGTGAAGGACTTTTTGATGGTACTAACTTGTACTTGCTTTACATGGAGTGGAAAACCACGAAAACCTCCCACGGCTAGCCTGAGGATAAGGACACTCTAACCCATGATACGTCTAAACTTAATCTGAGTAGCACATTCATTATTTTTCTTGCCAACAGCGTCTTTTAACCAGTAAATTGCATTATTGTTTTCTATTGAACAGCCATTTTCTTTAATATAATTAAATTTTTTGAAATGTTAGAGTAAAAAACGAGCTTGATAATAATGTAGTTAGATATATTGAGGCTGGAATAAAATCAATTACAAATTATTAAATAGAAATAAAGAAAATAGAAATAGTAACTTAGTTTAAAGGCAGAATTTGCAGCAACTTTCCAAAATCGCTTCAACGTTAGCTGATACCATCTCTCTTCCCTCGAAAGTAGTGATGTCATTTTCGACCAAAAGCTTGACTTGGCCAGTTTCAAATTTAAACGATCATCATGATCTAATCTACTGCATGATCAGTTTCTACTTCATGATCAATTTCTACTTCAAACGAAATCCAAAATTAATACAGCCATTGACCAAATTATTAGGCGCAGTATAGTCCATGTAAAATCTTAATTATCAGGTGATACTATACAGCTTTATTGTTTTCACAACAATGTTTGCACTTGTTTACGCTCGTGTATCAATTGGTTAACATTGTAATGCAATACGTTAAAAATAAATACAAATGGGAAATATATAAAAATTTGTTGAATAAGATCTCATTACATGTATGTATGCAATAAGGTTGTATAGTACCACCTGATAATTAAGATTTAACATAAAATCTTATAGTGCGTCTAATAATTTGGCCTAATTATTATAATATACTAATATAATACCTGATATAATAAAGACTCTCTCTATATATAAAATGTACCGTCTGATTTATCCTAACGTCGTATTTGTATTGTATATCGTCTAATTTAATCAATTGATGCACGAACGTAAACAATTTCAAACCGGTTTCAGTCGCGTTAAACAATAATGCTGTATAGTACCACCTGATAATTAAGATTTAATGTAAAATCTAATAGTGCGTCTAATAATTTGGCCTAATTATTATAATATACTAATATAATACCTGATATAATAAAGACTCTCTCTATATATAAAATATACCGTCTGATTTATCCTAACGTCGTATTTGTATTGTATATCGTCTAATTTAATCAATTGATGCACGAACGTAAACAATTTCAAACCGGTTTCAGTCGCGTGAAAACAATAAAGCTGTATAGTACCACCTGATAATTAAGATTTAATATAAAATCTAATAGTGCGTCTAATAATTTGGCCTAATTATTATAATATACTAATATAATACCTGATATAATAAAGACTCTCTCTATATATAAAATATACCGTCTGATTTATCCTAACGTCGTATTTGTATTGTATATCGTCTAATTTAATCAATTGATGCACGAACGTAAACAATTTCAAACCGGTTTCAGTCGCGTGAAAACAATAAAGCTGTATAGTACCACCTGATAATTAAGATTTAATATAAAATCTAATAGTGCGTCTAATAATTTGGCCTAATTATTATAATATACTAATATAATACCTGATATAATAAAGACTCTCTCTATATATAAAATATACCGTCTGATTTATCCTAACGTCGTATTTGTATTGTATATCGTCTAATTTAATCAATTGATGCACGAACGTAAACAATTTCAAACCGGTTTCAGTCGCGTGAAAACAATAAAGCTGTATAGTACCACCTGATAATTAAGATTTAATATAAAATCTAATAGTGCGTCTAATAATTTGGCCTAATTATTATAATATACTAATATAATACCTGATATAATAAAGACTCTCTCTATATATAAAATATACCGTCTGATTTATCCTAACGTCGTATTTGTATTGTATATCGTCTAATTTAATCAATTGATGCACGAACGTAAACAATTTCAAACCGGTTTCAGTCGCGTGAAAACAATAAAGCTGTATAGTACCACCTGATAATTAAGATTTAATATAAAATCTAATAGTGCGTCTAATAATTTGGCCTAATTATTATAATATACTAATATAATACCTGATATAATAAAGACTCTCTCTATATATAAAATATACCGTCTGATTTATCCTAACGTCGTATTTGTATTGTATATCGTCTAATTTAATCAATTGATGCACGAACGTAAACAATTTCAAACCGGTTTCAGTCGCGTGAAAACAATAAAGCTGTATAGTACCACCTGATAATTAAGATTTAATATAAAATCTAATAGTGCGTCTAATAATTTGGCCTAATTATTATAATATACTAATATAATACCTGATATAATAAAGACTCTCTCTATATATAAAATATACCGTCTGATTTATCCTAACGTCGTATTTGTATTGTATATCGTCTAATTTAATCAATTGATGCACGAACGTAAACAATTTCAAACCGGTTTCAGTCGCGTGAAAACAATAAAGCTGTATAGTACCACCTGATAATTAAGATTTAATATAAAATCTAATAGTGCGTCTAATAATTTGGCCTAATTATTATAATATACTAATATAATACCTGATATAATAAAGACTCTCTCTATATATAAAATATACCGTCTGATTTATCCTAACGTCGTATTTGTATTGTATATCGTCTAATTTAATCAATTGATGCACGAACGTAAACAATTTCAAACCGGTTTCAGTCGCGTGAAAACAATAAAGCTGTATAGTACCACCTGATAATTAAGATTTAATATAAAATCTAATAGTGCGTCTAATAATTTGGCCTAATTATTATAATATACTAATATAATACCTGATATAATAAAGACTCTCTCTATATATAAAATATACCGTCTGATTTATCCTAACGTCGTATTTGTATTGTATATCGTCTAATTTAATCAATTGATGCACGAACGTAAACAATTTCAAACCGGTTTCAGTCGCGTGAAAACAATAAAGCTGTATAGTACCACCTGATAATTAAGATTTAATATAAAATCTAATAGTGCGTCTAATAATTTGGCCTAATTATTATAATATACTAATATAATACCTGATATAATAAAGACTCTCTCTATATATAAAATATACCGTCTGATTTATCCTAACGTCGTATTTGTATTGTATATCGTCTAATTTAATCAATTGATGCACGAACGTAAACAATTTCAAACCGGTTTCAGTCGCGTGAAAACAATAAAGCTGTATAGTACCACCTGATAATTAAGATTTAATATAAAATCTAATAGTGCGTCTAATAATTTGGCCTAATTATTATAATATACTAATATAATACCTGATATAATAAAGACTCTCTCTATATATAAAATATACCGTCTGATTTATCCTAACGTCGTATTTGTATTGTATATCGTCTAATTTAATCAATTGATGCACGAACGTAAACAATTTCAAACCGGTTTCAGTCGCGTGAAAACAATAAAGCTGTATAGTACCACCTGATAATTAAGATTTAATATAAAATCTAATAGTGCGTCTAATAATTTGGCCTAATTATTATAATATACTAATATAATACCTGATATAATAAAGACTCTCTCTATATATAAAATATACCGTCTGATTTATCCTAACGTCGTATTTGTATTGTATATCGTCTAATTTAATCAATTGATGCACGAACGTAAACAATTTCAAACCGGTTTCAGTCGCGTGAAAACAATAAAGCTGTATAGTACCACCTGATAATTAAGATTTAATATAAAATCTAATAGTGCGTCTAATAATTTGGCCTAATTATTATAATATACTAATATAATACCTGATATAATAAAGACTCTCTCTATATATAAAATATACCGTCTGATTTATCCTAACGTCGTATTTGTATTGTATATCGTCTAATTTAATCAATTGATGCACGAACGTAAACAATTTCAAACCGGTTTCAGTCGCGTGAAAACAATAAAGCTGTATAGTACCACCTGATAATTAAGATTTAATATAAAATCTAATAGTGCGTCTAATAATTTGGCCTAATTATTATAATATACTAATATAATACCTGA